GTCCAGGTTCAAGCCCTGGCTGGGGACATTGCATTGTGTTCTTAAGCAAGACACTCCTCTCACAGTGCCTCTCTCCACCCAGGTGTATAAATGGGTACTGGTAATTTTAATGGCAGGGGGTAACTCTGTGATGGACTAGCATCCTATCCAGGGGGGAGTAGAAATACTCCCAGTCGCTTCATGCTGAAGAAACCAGGATAAGCTCCGGTCTGATGGGCCACTTGGCTTGTATGCAGACTTTACCTTTACATGTACCTTGTTTCCCATTCACTTGAGGATCATGACCAACTTTCCACCCACTCTTCTACTGCCTCCCATAGTCTTCCCATCCCCTTTAATCCCAGCTTCCTGCCTTCCAATCCACACAACTTCTAAGATGACACTAGTACTTCATTTCAAATTTGTACCTGATTATCATTCAAACCTCCCTTGGCACTTCATCCCTGCGAATTGTGTGCAACACAATCATAGCAGGAAATACCTTTGTTGAGCTGTACATAAAACTTTCTTTGCCTTTCAGCCAAAGTTCGACGACTCTACGACATTGCCAACATTCTGTCGAGCCTTCAATTGATAGAGAAAGTCCATATCCATAGCATTCAGACTGGCAGGAAACCCGGCTTTAGATGGATTGGAGTTGATCCTGATAAACTGGAATTACTGGTAGCCAACACTCAAGGTATGATGATGTTGTTTGCTGAATTATTCCAGCTCTCTCACAAAAGTTGTCCTAACAACAGTAATAAAATTATTACTAGCACCTGTTGTCAATGAATTTAGAGGCATAACCATTAATACAAATGGCCCTCGGTGGGGATCGCTCATTATCGGTTATTGATTTTCATTCGTTGTCACTGCCTAGATGATGCCCAAACTCCACCAGCTGTAAAGAGAGTTTGTGCAGCAAAAAACAATACAGCCATGCAGATTGATAAAGAAGAGGAAAGTAAGTTTGACCATGCTCAGAACCTTGTAATGCTTTTCTCATTTAACTTGGATTCAACTCACCTGGAGAGATGGTTTCATCGAGAAGAGAAGCAAAAAGCCTTGTTGCTTTGAAACTGGAGTAAACATGAGATTGCATGACAGATTTATAGTCGTCGGTGGCGGATTGCGTGACACAAGCAATTTCAGACTTTCTTTGTTTGTTTGTTTGTTTGTTTTTTCATGTTTCTTGATTTCGTTGTAACTGTCCAAATTTTAATAACGTCATTGACCTAATATACAAAGTTACTTTCCTTGGGCGAATGGCTCCAAACAAGACTTTTTCCAAAATCGAGGTTTTGGGAGGGTTCACACAGAACTAAGAGTATTCCTGACGATCAGTGACGTCCGGGGTGGAATTTTCGGAAGTTTCTCGAACGAATGTTTAGTGGCTTTGTCACCATAAATTAAAATCTAAGACAAAATCACGTTGTTTCACTTTACCAGGTGCTGTAGGACGCTTTATCAGACGAAGACCGAGTCAACAGCAGCTCAGGGCAAGATCGGAAGACACGGAAACGAGCAAAAGCAAGTTGCCGCGTTCACGTTCTGAGAGAGTTCTGAGTACGAAGAAGAGGGGTCAGCGTGATTGTGAGGAAGACGGCTTTTCAGTTCAAGAGCTGGCAGCTTCATTTAGTAAGTGTTAAACCGGGTTGTTTATCGTTGTGAATGACAGCCAAAGTAAACTCGCTGGCCAATCAGAACAAAACAAACAAGGAAATGAACCAATCAGAACTCGCGGCAGAAACAGGCGATCGCTACTGAGCGCGGGAAAACGCACCTGACTGACCTACATTGTACATGTTGTAAATGACGTGTGTTTGCCTTGATTCATTGTTTATAGACTTGGCCATGCACAAGTCGATTTTTTTGTTTGTGTGAAAACCGCTAATGCCTTGGCCGCTTAAAATTCGAGGAGGAAGAGCGCTAGGTAGGGTATCCGGTCACTTCGTTCCATCAAAGTTTTCGGGTAACTTTTCAGGAAGCTACTGTTAAATGATTGTTCCTTGATTAATATTGGTTTCTGCTGTGATTGACAGGTACTGACCCATCAACAGCCAGTCCGACAGAAGCTAAATTCCGAGCAGAGTTGAAGAAACTGCACCAACAATACCCTGATCATATCCTTTTGATGCCTGGTTCTTTGTTTTATCGATATTAGCTGTAATGTTCTTTCCCCTTTTCGCAAATAACCCAGTCTGGAAATTTTAGCGACAATAATCCCGCCAGTTGAAGTGATTGTCATGTCACCCTGATTTGTTCGGCTACTTTTTTATCAGTCATCGATTTGCTTGCTGGTATATCGTAAAAGAAATTTCCATTCAAACTTTTCTGTACCTAGGATCGTTCTTCTCATGTATTCCTCAACCCTTTTAAAATTATTCGCACTTCATTTTGCTTTACAAGTGCAGTTCTTCAGCAACCAGAACTCAGTATATTAAGAACTGAAAGCCAAGCAATTTTTCACATGCTCTAATTGTGAATTTATTTCTCCTTAATTCGTCTCACGTATGTCTCAGCTCCTTTCTGCCTGTAGACACTCAGACGATTTTGATGCGAGGAAGAGTCGACGTTCACTGTTCATGTCAGGAAAAACACAACTCGAAGATGCTCCGGAACCCAAACGACGACGAAGTGCCGACGACGTGTCATCGATCAAACAAGAAAGTGATGGCGGATTTTTCCACTCGTCGACCTCCCCGTTCAAGAGTATTCAAGAAGAGAAAAAGGGCTCGTCACTTAACAGCCCAAAACAAGCAAGCCCCCGTAGAAAGTTTAATCAACCATCGCCTGAACAAAAGATTCTTCTGGAGAGACAGAAACAACAGAAACTTTTAGAAGAGCAGCGAGGTTTTGATTCACAGGACGAGCGATGGAAGCGCATTGAATACGAGCTGGAGAAGGCGTTTCCCAAAGCAGGACCGAGTCGCCCTATGATGGTTCATCAGTCTTCATCGCCGTTGCCGTATGACGCACTCGTAGAACAGTCCTCTGTTGCTATTCAGGCTAGTCTCATCGATGACTTGAGCCCTCTCAAACCACTTAGCTACTACCGCAAAGTCAAGTCCCCTTGGAAGAACTCCGAATCGTTACAGAGCTCCAGTCCGGCTTCTGCGACGCCCTCGCCCGTCCAGTTTCAGAATGGGTCAGCGTTGAATTCTTTCAACAACGTACACGCGATGTCACCAGTGCCCATTCTCCCCGCAACGGAACGTCCGTCCAATGTTAGTAACGTGCGTCCGAGCAATGCTTTCTTTTTCCAGATCCCCGCATCAGCGGGTAGCGGGGCATCAGTTGTTTGGGCCACGCCCACCCCACCCTCTGGCAGCTCAACACCCTCACCCGACCAGCTTATGAAGATGGCGGTCGGACAACCTACCAACACTCCAATGCTGTACAGTCCTAGGTCCCTCACGCCTACTCCAGAGCCTGCTCATGTGGATACATCACTTCACCAATCGATTCTCGCGACGCCATCTTTGGTGGCAATGGGAGAATCACAACAAGTTAGCCCCGT